TTCTCCACCCCTCTGTAGATTACCGACTTAAAAGCCCAGCTGTGGGAGACGGAGAAATTACTCAAAAATAAAATAACCACTGTACAGAAAACTCACCTGGATGCTATTGAAGTATTGCAAGTAAGTTTTATACAAGAATACTGCATGTTGATAGAATAGGGGTGTTCCACTACCTTTGGTAACGACATTTTCTATTACACATCAAGTATTTTCTTGATATTTATAAAAATATTTATCATATTTACCTTATATGACATTGGCATCTCATAGTATTTTGAGAGGATGCCTTTCAGTCTATGTTCCACATCGTCAAATACAGGGACTTGTGTTTTGTGGTCTGTCCATGTGTTTAACTTAATTTCAGTTTGATTCAAAATGGCCAACTGGTGGCAGTTTTGTTTTTCTTTGTGTTTATTCATACCATCTGATATGTAACAAACATCTCCCTATCAACAGACCTACAAGTATAATCCATTGTGATATAACTGTCAAAGCTACTGCAGATCTGAGTTGTATCTGATAGATATTACATTGTAGAAATACTTGGTCTTCTCTTGCATGTGAAAAGTTACGTACATCGCATTACGGCTCATACACGTACCTCTTATCAATGTAAAGTTGTTGTTTTTTCTTTCAGACTAAAAATCGTAATTTGACAAAGCAGTTATCACAGGTGTCAAAGAAAGAGTCCAAGTCTTCATAGATGTAAATCAGATACTTGATAGTGGTGTTCATGTGTTAGGGCTTCCGTTTAGTCCAATTTTCACACTATATAAACAAAAAATCAAGAGCTGTTGCCTTGAATACCAACTATTTATGGATTTGAAAGTACCACATTGTGAGTTATTTTGCTGGATAAAAGCAGTTAATGTGGCACTTTACGCTTCAACAGTGGTACAGCTCTTCAAGAATTTGTTTTGAGAAGAATTCCAAATGTCATTGCTGTCTTCAGATAATGTGGATTAAGTCTTCTGTATCGCCTTAAGATTACCTAGTATGGGCATTCTGTTTTGTTCCACCTTAGCTGAAAGATATGCTGATAGTTACTTGTGTAGTTTCACCTTTCTAGCGATGTTCGTCTGTCAACATGTGCATGCCTGTATCCTGTATGTGTAATCCTCAGCTGATTTAAGCAGATAGTGATTTTGAAACATGCTGGAGGATACATTCAATCGTAGATCCTATCATGGTCAACATTTTTTCGTCAAGTGGGATTGTTATCATCTTTGGATTATCGCCATCCTGTTTTTGTGAACGTCATTGCATTGTCACCATCATTCTTCTCTTGTCAGTATATCGCTGGTATTTACTATGAGCTTTTGTTTATGTGTGTTAGCTGGTAACTTTCTCAAATAATTCAAAACCACTCGTTTTTACAGTAGACATTTGCTTATTGCACTACAAATATTCAAAACTATCAAGAACAAAAAAGAAATAATACCAATAAAATACTATTCACACAAATCAGCTCATCAGTTTCCAGGGTTGCAGTTAATTGTCATGTCCATATTAATATCTCAGGATCATGGATTTAAATAGAAAACATCTTCCTCAAAAAATGATATAAATCTGCTTGTCACTGCCAGAAAAAGCACATTAGGAATCCCTAACTTCATATAACATGACAGTTATTGATGATTTAATTTCCAAGTTTTGGCACTTTTTCTATGAATGAGTGAGTGAAGTAAATTTCTTTACATGTATTGCGTCATCACTTGATGTCCATGAAGGTAGAAAATGTAACATTATTTGTATTTTATATACTCCATTTTGATGTGACTTGCTGTGTTTGTATTTTAGTTAAATTTGTTTCCAAACTAAGCTGACAAATTAGTGTATTATTATTTTATAATTTTTTTCTACTATGTACTTTTAGAAAACTCCTTCCATTGTAAATATTGTAGTAATACAGTTTTTTTCCAATGTTATAATTGAAAGAGTTTGAGTTTGGTTTGGGTATAGATTAGAAACCTGATTTTTTTTTTGGGGGGGGGGGGGGTATATCTGGATTCAGTTTACTTTGTTTGGTTCAGAAAATATCTTTATTACCTTCACCATATTAAACTCCATAATTTGTCAACTAAATCTTTATATGAAGATCGTTTATCTGTCAGTTGTATGCAGATTATGACAAAGATTAACGATTCAATCGTTTTCTGATATAAATTTTTCCAAATCTCAGATATCTCACAGCTGAATGGCAGATTTTCCCCATATTAGTTTGACACTTCATCCTACATTTTAGAGTACATACTTTGCAGCTTTTGGGGTTATTTATTAATTCCTTTTATTATTAAATTAACTTAAGCATATTTAATTAATTATTTTTTTCTTGTTTTTGACTCCCGTGTGCGAAGCACAAAAGGGAGTCTTTGCAGTTACCCTGTTTGTATGTATGTCTGTATGTATGTATGTCACTTTTTTTGTTCCACCGTTATCTCAAGAACCACTAATCAAATTTTGGTGAAACTTGGTACATAGATGCTCTGGGATAATGCGCAGAGTTGATTAGGTTTTGGTAAAAATCCATGAATATTAATTACCTAATTTGCATGATAATTAGCTGATTTTTAGCTGTTCCATGACTGTTCCACGGATATCTGAAGAACCACTCATTGGATTTTGATGAAACTTGGCACATGGATACCCTGAACTAATGCGCAGATTTGATTAGTCTTGGGTAAAAATCTGTTTATATTAATTACCTAATTTGCATAATGATTAATCAATTTTCGGCTTTTCCACTGATATCTCAAGTACTAATCATAACATTTCAATAAAACTTGGTACATAGATGTCATATGACACAGACCTGATAGTTTTTAGGGTAATATCAGTACATATTAATTACCTAATTTGCATAATTAATTAATATTTTGCTTTTGATATTTCGAGGAGGAATGATCACGTTTCAATGAAACTTGGTACATAGTTACTTGAGGACTGTGCAAAGATCTAATTAGTTTTTGGTAAATATTTATGCTTCTTAATCACCTAAATAACAATTAATACTGATATCTCAAGTATTGATCATCACATTTGAATAAAACTTGGTACATAAATGCTCTAGGACAGTAGATGGCCTGATTAATTTTGGGTTAAAATCTGTTCATATTAATTCTCTAATTAGCATAATAATTAATAATTTTTTGGTTCTAATCACATTTCAATGAAACTTGGTACATTGTGCAGACCTTATTAGTTTTACACTTAAATCTGTTCATATTGGTTACCTTATTTGCATAATTAGTTTTCTGCGTTTCCATCAATATCTCAAGTTCAAGTAATTTTGAATAAATTTTTAATGTGTCTCCAGTACTCTCAGCACACGGGAGTTCTTTCTAAGCTTTCTTTGATTGATTGTATTTTTATTTGTAATATATATGCATTTTTTGTTGTTCAGCTGCAGTACATATCATATACCAGGGTAGTCGTGTATAATCCCAGGAAGTGAAATGCGAGACTGAGAGGTTATGTATAATGCAACTGAGATTTCATAGTCGTAATGTATTAATGATCATAATTTATTTGTATGCAGTGCTTCCTCATTCTGTTTCATTTCATGTGATATACGGTTAGTTTATTTCTAGTTTCCATAAATACAACTTAAATATCTCTTCCTGAATGTTAGTATCATATTAATGTAATGAGCATTGTAATACAAGTGACGCCAAATATTGAAACTGCTCAAAAATGTGTTGTACATTATTCATTTTGTATTTTTACCTGATAGTTATCCCATTTGTGTGTAATAATGTATATTTATAATTTTATATTATATTTTATACTGAAATGTGTATGTCTATTCAAAATAGCATGGTCTTTTCTTTTACAAAACTTGATCCTATAGATTATTTCAGCATTTTGATTATTATTTAGAAATGATTTGTAATTTGAAATGTATTTACTTCGATTATTTTTGCTGTGTGAAATTCATTTTGTATTTTATACACACTGCATCTAGCAGCTGTCGGAAAGTATTGTGCATGCATTTGATGTGGCCAAGTAGGAAATGATTTCTGTCTTTGCTACTTCCTATCACTTTGCTGTACTGTACAATCCAAATTCAATTGCCCAAGCATATTAATTCTTTAACTCTTTGAATATTCTGGTCTTTGATTTGTGAATGTATTCCCGAATCACTGTGCTCAGTTTCCGGTATGATTCTGGTTTACATTCCTAGTTT